TGAGTATATATATATATATAAAAATTAGGTGAATTAGGAATTATTTTTTAAAGATTACAAATTTATTAAAGATTTTTGAGGTTTAGATAAGTATCATGTAAAATATTGATGTCTGTCCGTAATTCGATTGTATTATTTGTGTTCGCTATTAACATCGATTTAGCAATGCTTCTTTCAAATTGATGTTTTTCATAATATAAAATGTATTATTCTTATAATCAAAATTATGGTTCTTCGAGATAGCGTGATCTACAAGAGTGCTTCATGTTGTCTATTGTCATTCTTACTCTGTAACTCGTATTGTCGTAATCTTCTTCCTAAATTTTGGCAGGCCTGGCCAATTCACGACAAATCAAAATTCAAGAGTATATTTCCATACGTTTCGACATAATTAAAAGTACTTCCTTTTAATTTCCCCTGAAAATAAGCAGTATGATCTGCCGAAACATGGAAAAAATAATAAAGTTAATATATTTATTCCATAATAATACTATGTGTTACATAATATGTAAATCCTGGAACAACAAAAAAATAATCTAATTACCGATATTTATTGTTTCTAATAACGTATCATAGAGGCATTATGTGATTTTGGTTATATGGTCCATTTCAAGCAATTTCTCCGAAAAAAACATAGCTCGGAAGTGACTTTTGGGCCACTGATTTCCAGTTTTCAATTTCACACACACGATAAACATCAAAACGCACTAAAACATAGAGAAAATTCGTGTTTTTGTTTTAAACAGTTCTCATTGTCAGAAGAGTGAAAATGTATTGAGTCGATATATTTTCAAAGATAGCACTTATTATTAGTGCGGTTTAATGTTTAATGTTTATATATACCCAAATTTGAAAAAAAATGAATAAATAAAAAATTTTAAAGAAAAAAGTTAGTTTATATATATATATATATATATATATATATATATATATATGCGTGTGTGTGTGTGTGCAGCAATATCAATGCGAAATTAGTTCATTGACACGCGCTGTATTCTTTCATTTATATTGCCATTTTCTTATTTTTAATTTCTCGTATTAGAGAATTTATTAACTCCACATGTATCAATTGTATTTTTATAATTTTAATTGTTATTTATATTTCTAGAAAAGAATAATATATATATCGTATATAGCTTATATACATATATAATACAGTGCAAAATGCATAATATATTTAAATTGAAATATTAAAATTTAAATTACGCGTGTCGTGAAAATTGCTTCAGATACCTATCTTCTTCAAACCTCGAATTAATTTATTTTTAGAAAAATGGATTTCTATTTATGATTTACTTTAAGTTTTATAATACAAATATTAAACATAAAAATATCATTAGGAAGAAATCCTCCTCATAAGTTTTCATAAAAACGAATTATAATTTATATTTAAATTGTGAGACGCTATGTGTTTTTTTAGAAGAGAAATTATGACCAAATGAAATGATCGAAATCGAATTAGGTATTGTTAAATAATCAACAGCCAATATCATCAATGTTTTATGTACTCAGAACTTAACCTCCAATTTTCAGTCAATATTTATCGTTTTATTTTCAAATTTTTGAGAAAACACTATTAGTGCTAGAAAGGAGCATATATGCTACAAATGAAAAGTCGCGTAAAGAAGATATAAAATCAATTATGCATGAGTCGATATAACTGGCAATTCTTTCAATATTATGAATATATAAGATCATATAATTAAATTGCTCTCAATAAAATTACGATGTTATATAAAAAACAAACATCCCAATTATGTATGAATCATAAGTTGCTACTATTCTGATTCATCTTGGGATATCATAATGAGAAAGTAGCAAATAGAACCATCGAGATTCACTCCACATGTTGTTATAGTTTGTTTTTAATCTAACCGATAAATCGGTCAAATTTCACATAAATCGGAAAGTTATTTAACTGCCGCATTAAAACTAGAACAGACAAAAATTTCTTTGCCTTTTTAACATATAAAAAATGCAAAGTTTTTTTGTTGCGCAATGTATCCGAATGATCGTGGGTTTTTTGAAAAAAGTGAACCGCAGTATGAATTCCGGACGTCTTCTATATTAATAGTTCCGGTACTTTTTTCATACCGAATACATTTATGTAAAATTTTCCTTCATCGAATTAATAAATGTCTCATGCATGTTTTTGATAGATGAACTCAGAAGATATACAAGAATTAGCTAAAACACGATGTGCGATAACTTTCGAACAAATGGAAAATTCTAATCACAACTGGTTCTGTTAGTTTCTCCATAATAGATGATATATTTATTATATTGTATTTTATGACACATATAATTCTGACTCGAATATATTATGAAAACGTCTTATTATAGACATAGGTAAATAATCAATAACGGGTTTAACCTAACAAAGCAGGCCACACACTAATAATTATTCGACGAAATACCATTTTTTGTATAATACAATAAGGTGCTATCCATATATCATGATCTAGTATGAATCCATTTATTAATATATGGTTGAACAAAATATACATTTCCGATATAGATCCGTTGATAAATAGATAAATAAATAATAATAAATAAGCAATAAATAATAAAACGTTATAACTATAGCCATAAGAATAAATAGAAATCGAGAGAAAAATAGAATAGAGAGTTTATAAAGGACGTAATAGAATTTTAGCTGAAATTAAAAAAATTTAAAAGTATTTATCTTGGATTTTCGGAGTTTTCAAGCAAAACAATACCAATCAATTAAAATGAAAATTATAATGTGTTATTTTATGCTTTTTATTCATACGAAGCATATTTTAACAAAATCAATTCCATTGTATTGTTCTATTTTGTGGCAGTCATCCACAAAATAGAAACATCAATTCATTAAATTGATATCAAACCCAAAATTTTTAGAATCTTAAAACTGTCGCAAAAATTTGAATGATATTATCTTAGTGTATTTTCATTATCCATTTAGTTTTCTTACCCTGATCATACTCATAATTTTATAATACTAGCGTTCTGGAATATTCTAATGAATGGTAATTTTAAATGTTGTAAATTTGTAAGTAATGTAAACTTTGCGTTTCTAACGCCAATTTAAACAAATTGACTCGATTCCGACATTTCAATTCCAGTTTCCTGTTACAAATATACACGATAATGTTTCCAAAAATAGACAGATATCGGTCAAGACACGATTTTTCGTATTTTGTTGAAATTTATTTTGTTTCAAACTTAAAAGATTGAAACTAGATCTTTTAGTAACCGTAATATTGCATGTGTGAATTTCCGGGATTTCTTTTTTGAAAAACTTCATAATACAAATAATAATTTTTCTTAGAATTATTTATAATATTTTGTACAGTTTTGCTCTCTTTTGTTATATAATAATAACTTTTCGATACTCCAACTTTTTATTTTTATATTCCAATTTTCGTTTGAAGTTTCAAACCAAAAGAAGTTAGATTTCAACGGTTTGGCTTAAAAATTCTAATTGTAATAGTTTCGCACTAAATATAGTATAAATTTTATATTATACGTTCTTAATTGAAGTCAGTTATTTACACAAATGAAATAACTTTTAATAGAGATATGCTCAATGCTTGATTGTATATTTTAATGCATTAATATTTTATACGGATTGAAATTATTTATAATTATTATTTTTTATTAACGGTTAGGGGAATCAACGCTCCCAGTAAAAAATATACTACACTTGAAATCATGTATACAAATATTGTATTAAAGCCTTAAACAGGCTTCTGAAGTGATAATAATATATGTAACTATGATCTGAGTTAAGAACTCAAAATTGTGCCTAAATTTTAAAAGTTAAGTGTTATTTTTTTCTTTCATCTGTAGCAAAATATTATACTTAAACCTAGCCAGATAGTCTTAATACTAGCCAGATCTTACAATACTGTCGACAGTTTAGGTATTTAACTTAGGAATAAACATTCACAAAATATTTAAAACAAATAATTCTATACCGCTTTAGTTATGCTTCCTAAATAATTTGGTTTTTTACGTTACTGCAGAATTAACTCACTTTGATTTCAATAATTATTTTTACTATTTTTTTCTAAGTAGCAGAACCATTCGATGTTTAGTACAACCGAATGTAATGGGCCGAAAATCGGAATTGAAAATTTTTACATTTCTCGACGTTTTGAAGGTTTCTGAACATTTTGGCATACCTCAGAAAAAATAGATGTGTGTGTGTATGTGTGTATGTATGTATGGATACAAATTTCCAGTCACGTTTTCGGGCGCACGGATCAACCGATTTGAATGGTTCAAAAAACATTTGATTCCTATTGATAGGGAGAAGAGCTGATTAGTTTTTCGCTAAGGCAGGTCCAGCCGTTTCGGAGATACGGAGCAAAGAGTGCAGAAAATAGAAATCGACTTTTTGAGAGAACGGAGTATCCGATTTGAATGACCTAAAAAACATTCAATTATTTATGATTGGGAGAAGTGTTTATTAGTTTTTGGCAAAGGCAGGCCCAGCCATTTCGAAGATACGGAGCTAAATATGTAAAAAATGGCAGTTTTCGATATAACTAAGCGTCCGATTTAAATGATTCAAAGAACTTTCTGCTTGTCTTAACAAAATAATTAATTTTGGAAAAACATTTTTTGTTTCAACTTTTTTTTTGTTAATTTTATGTATATCGAAAATAATTCAGATTTTATTTTTAATTCTGACTATAGTTCTAATATACTTTACAAATAATTTCAACTTTGCAATTCAGTTTATATATCATATAATTCAGTTTATATATCATATTTATTATATAGCTTGACAAGAGGGTGAATTAATATTCAATTTTATTGGTTGCATTAAATTACGAGTTTCAATTATTAAGAAATAAATATAGTACCAGAAATGCGTAGTTCCCCATCGGGTTGCCGCGAGAAAAAAGCTTTTAGTTATTCTGTAAATAATAATGTTCTAAACCATTCTATTACTGGAATTTTAATAAGGATAATATGTTTTCAACTACTACGGGAATAAAACTACTTACTTATTTTCTTGAAAATAAAAATTCTTCCCTCGCCGTTAGTGTTTGCTAGGGACCTCTCCATAGGCATGAGTTCCAACTTGACAATTGCCCCGGAGCCTTCAAATCCCCGAGGAGACACTTTTAGTGTGGCGCTGTCGAACAGCATTTCAGGAAGTTGAAGTTCCATGTCGTGCGTCATCATGAATTGAACTCCTTTTCCATATAACGCCCCTGATACTTCTTCCAATGGACTTTCTACAAAAAAATATGAACTATATGAGTACTTTATAATATTAAATAGTAAATTAGAGTAGAGTAAGTTTTAACTCTTTTGCTACGAGTGCTTTCTCGACTACCCGGGTCGCCCATGGACGACATGTTCTGTGTCCGTCTTTGCTTCAAGATTTATCACTATGAGTTAAACTATTAGTAGTTTTGTTTAAAACATCTTACATGTTACTTGTTAGAATAATTTTTCATCTTCCGGTAATAATAAAAAAACACATTGGCCGATTGTTTGGAAAATTAATCAACGCAAGTCCTTTTCGGTTTTTATCTGGTGGTTAATGCATTTTGGAAATCGGTGCAGCCGTTTTTTTGACACACACATACTTTTTCCAATTTTCGTATCGAACGATTCAGAACGACTACGAGAAAACTTAAAATTAGTAAATTCGATTTTCTACGAAAACAAACCTTTCCTTAGAAAAGTAGAATGAAGTACATAAAACTTTAACAAATTTGTATTCCCATATTTCTTAATGATGATTCCTTATAAATTTCAATAGGCAAATAAGAGTGAGTGCCGAATAGTGAACAGGTCAATGATTCCATAAAATGATTGAACTAAAATTAAAATGAATTAAAAAACTTACAGCTTTTATTAAGAGCGGCATTTAATTATACGTTATTAGTAATAACAAAATGCTGATAACGTCAACAGGAACATTAAAATGTAGCAAATATGCAGTTATAATATCAAAAAACAGTGAATGAATGTACAGTTCCTACGTGTAAAACACTACTTATTTTTTTAGCGCTGTAATTCTCTATTTAAAAATTTCACATAATTATAAAGACTGTATTGCATGCTATAGCAAAAAGATTTTTAATATTTATTTATTTCTTATTTCATTTCTTACATGTTCACGTATATGACGTACAACAATCTACGCAAACACATTTGATCTCTCAAAACACTTTTTTTTGTAAATTGTGTGAGCACCTCAATCGATTATATCAAAAAGATTACAAATTACGATGTATATTATATTTTGTGATTTATTTATTGGTTGTTATAATGATTGGATAAACTAAAAAAATAAAACTTCACATATGATATCACCTATTTTATCACATCTTCATAAATGAAAGTAGAAAATTGGCAATTAGATAAATTATTCATTTAAACTATGGCTAAGATGAAGAAATATAGTAGGCTATTATTATAAATTACACTTTTTTGTGAAATGTGTTTGAAGAATAAAGCGTTCTCTAAGCTAATCTTCGAAAAGGTTGGAAGGAAATCATTTACATAGAATGAAAGCCGCGGAGAGTGGATCTAAATATTCTAATCTGCCTATATGAATTCGTTGGAAAGAGTAAAATGGAACATCTACATTAAACTAATATGTATTTATAAGACAATTTACATATTATTGCTGCTATTTTGCTATTTCTATATAGTACTTATAGCATACTTAAAATTTATACGCCAAATAGTAGTGAACATGAAAAAACTGTTTTCTCAATGAAAAAAAACGAAGCAAATTATTCATTTTTAACATGTATAGATGGCGAATTTATCAATTTTCGAAGTTAACAATAAGTCAGTGAATTGTGAGTCGATCATAATTTATCAACTGTCAGACAAGTGGATACAATCTTTGAATTTGAATGATGATAAACAACATATGTTAATAAAATCACATATCATGCTTCTATTCTATTTCCTATTGGACTGCTAATTCAGCAAGCATTGAAAATTTGCAACTTATTTTTTTAATCTCGATTCAAACTCATTCATTATCGACGTATTATGTTGAATACGAAAGTAGGTGAATTTAAATTTATAAGTATTCACATATCATCATATTCATTCATACATAAGTGGTGTTAAAGTTATTACAAACTAGTGGTGTATGGCATCGTGTCTTTAGGCAAATTGCATATATAATGTTACTCGCATAGGACAACAAACATTATCAAAATTCTATTATTTTTTGTGCAATTTAGGTGTCTGTATTATCTCTACAATTTTTAGTCCACTACTAAACAAACTAAATCATTATTGCTGTGCATCGATCATAATTTTTCAATTATATTTAAAAATACATAAACAAATTAAAATACACCAAATACTCCAAAAGTCAAATTTATTACATTTTTTACTACATATTTATTTCTCATTTGGTTTTAAACTGTAATTTTATGAACGCATTGGCTAGTTTCAAATATTTAAAACGGCTTACATAAAATTTTGAGACGATTTCTTCAGAACTGTCTTATTATAATTAACGGTTCAAACACTAAGAAGCATTTTTCACTTTCATGCATTTTTAGTACGGCATGCGCACCTGTTCGGAGTTTTCGAAAAAAGTACTAAAACATGTCTTTGATTGTGAAAAACTAGATTTCTATAAAGCTTTTTAACTTTTGGTTTCACTTTCAATTAACTACTTCCAAATAAAATACTTCATGTTACACTTGATTCCAAAACTAATTTTGTATTACGAAAAAATCACTGTGTGGACTGCGGCAGATTGTTGGGTTATTTTCTTTTCAAGCTACTTAATATTTCATCTGGCTGAACTAATTGTATTTCGAAAATTGTAATAGGTTTTAATTGTTTTAAAATCGCAAAAAATCGAAAATGAAAATGTTTGCATATCTTTGCGTATTAAAACCTTCTGAACATTTTGGCATACCTTTTAGAAAAAATGGATGTATGTGTGTGTGTATTTAGTATGTATGTGTGTATGTTTGAATACACTTTTTCATCCACGGTTTTGAAAGAATGGATCAACAGATTTGAATGATTCTCAAAGTATTCGATTCGTATCGACGGAGGAACATGATGATTAATTTTTGGCAAAGGCAGGTCCAGCCGTTTTGAACATACTGTCCAAAAGGCGCCGAAAATGGCAATTTAGTTTTTGAGATAACAAAGCGTCGGATTTGAATAATTCAAAAAACATTTCAGTTGCATTGGTGAACTGAAGAATTCGAATATACAATAACGCAAGTTAAAAAATATGCCATTAGACGTCAAAAGTGATCATTAAGACATATGCACATCAAATTATCAGACATTTTATAGAGAAATTAATAATCACAATTTTTGTTTTAGTATTCGTACTAAGATATACAATGTTTAACCGTTAGGGAATTCTTTTGCTATAAAGGGTTCACAAGGGAATTAAGCAACCAGTTAATTTATGAATGAATAAATTTCAATAAAATAATAGTTTCAAGAATTTTACTAATAAATCTGTAGGGGAAAGCCCCGTAACGCCGGACGGCACCAAAGATCGGACACTTTATTTAACACGTATTATTTAAGCGAGTATAAATCTTTTTATTTCAAAATACTAGTGAAAGGGGGTATAGGGGGCAAACAGGTGCAGGATCACGCGCCAAGACTCAACTGTGACGCACACGGCCACGGCGGTAGCCACCCTTTGCTGTTTTAGGCGAAAAATCACGGCGTCACCTAAATATCACTGAAAGTAATTGTAGCATATTTATGCATTTACATTTGAGTGGTATGCAAAGATAAAAGTTGTACTTGATTGTTATCCGTAAAATGGTAGAATATCATTAGATCTTTTAACCAATTTTAGTAGGTGCCATCAAATGAACGAGAATGTCTGCCCCTTAACATCGGACACTAAGTCGTCCCTTAGTGCCAGACAGTAAACATATTGATATTTCTTGTGAGAATTTACGTAATTTATTCCAATTATTTAATTTTATTCTGTATGAGTCCTAGTCAAAGAATGAAAAGCTTATGGCGAATGCACCAGCTGAGAGCACAGGTGTGGCCCAGCCAAAAGGGTGGATGAATAGTGACTTTTTTTGCAATATCTAAGAATATTTGTCAAAGACACATGTGCAGACATTCCAGAGCGTGAAGATGGTTACAAATGTGATCAATGCAGGTTATTTTGAAATGTCCGGTACTAGGTGCCACTGTTTAAAATCATATTTTTTGATAGCAAAGTTTGATTGATAATATTAATTATTTTTTTAGCAATAAAGATTGCGGTTTTGTTAATTTAGTTTGATTTCTAACTTTGTTATCTAACATAAATCATAATTTAATAAACATTTCGTAAAATATTTTTTGATTTATTTATGAATAACATTAGGTGTCCGCCATTTGGGGACTTTCCCCTACTTGTTAATGGATCATATGACCAGTTTAAGGAAGTTGGATATGACAAATTCTCTGATACAACTTCGCTAGGATTGACTTCGGGGTAGTAGTAACATCCTCGAATATAACTCATTCCGGAGTTACCCAACTCCAGTAACCACAATGTATTACTATGTTTGGCGCCGTGTTAACGCGCGTACTTCTTCGAGATGTGTGTTTTGCAGAAGCAGAAACATATTCCTTTACTAATGTCGATTGCTCGATGTACTCACTACTCACTCACAAGTCAGTCACTTAGCGCGTGCCATGATTTAGGTTTAGCGATACGCTTTCACTTCACTTCGCAAGTATTCCGCAAATTATGTACTTGCTGATAACTAGAAAAATGTCACGATTCCAATGATATTAATGTTTGATGTTAGGAAGCGATTAAGTTGAATAATTAGTATTAATGTAGTTGACTCAGTGTCGGCCATGCATAATGATCAGATTGGTACGAGGGCTAATTACTATTTGATCTTTCTGCATATTACATTGCAGGCACTTTTTCATTTTCATATAAATTACTATCTGTCTTTTATGAACACAATTAGTAATTGTTTTGCTAGTTTTAGCATATAGCTTTTAGAAGGTACTCCTTTCTAATTATAGTAATAGATATAGTAATGGGCCGAAACTCGAAAATGAAAATTTTTGCATATCTTCACGTTTAAGGGGTTTCTGAACATTTTGGCACACCTCAGAAAAAATGGATGTGTGCGTGTGTGTGTATTTTGTGTGTCTGCAATAATTCGTCCACGATTTCTGGCGCACGGATCAACCGATATGAATGGTTCATAAAACATTTCATTACTATTGATAGGGAGATGTGCTGATTAGTTTATGGAAAAGGCAGGTTCAGTCGTTGTGGAGATACGGAGCAAAGAATGCAGAAAATAGAAATCAAGTTTTTGAGAGAACAGAGTATCCGATTTGGATTATTCAAAAAACATTCAATTTG